GCACCCAAAAGATAAAGTGATATATGCAAACAGCAAAAAACATGCTTCATACATTTGTTTTGAGGTTCACCTGTACACTGCACAATAGCCCCTACATTTTCATGCTTCTTCTTTGCTAATTGCAGGGATTAACCATCTTTCTAACTAAAATTGGCATGCATGATTATGGTTGGTTATGCAAAAACACAGCTTGTTCCAAGAAAATCATTGGCTAATGAGGCAGGAAACATTTTAAGCTTTTCGATACAACCAGTGAAGGATTATGTAATAAAAAATGTCAAGTACATGGAAGAATACAGTCCATGTAAAATCTAAACAAATGAAAAGTATGCAGTATAAGTTAGTTAGATCAAAAAGATCAGCACTAATATAGACATATGCGTAGGATAAACAAGTGGAAACAATCTTAATAAACATTAGAAAATCCACGAAGCAACCTACCGCATAAACCTCTCAATTTGCTTCCAAATTCATTACATAGCTAGTGCCATGTCATACAATCAGGTAAGAGGAGAAAAAGAGTTCTCAATGAAGTAAAACTAAATAAAGCAACTTCTCTTATCATAACAATGATTATTTAGCCATACCTTTTCTTCCACTTTCTTAAACAATGTAGATATTGTAGCTTGAACAAGTGAACCATGGTCTGTGTTTGAATTTTCCTTTGATTTGGTCACTGTAGCAGTTGACTGAGATGTTTTTCTAGACTTGGTCACTGAAGTTAGATTAGTTTGAATTTGTTTGGAGACCTGGCTATCTTCTGTATCATGAGAACCAAGGTCCACAGGGACAGAACTAATAGTCTGTAATTATCAGTTAAGGAATCAAAAAACAGATGCTTAGGAATAATTTAAGTAAATAAATAGACTAAAATAAATATCCTAACCTACAGAAATAAGTCAATAGGAATATGAAGTTGGATAATACAAAATAATACAGATATGCTAAATCAGGATATTTGCAACAGTGTCATCATCAGTTAAATCAAGTTTCAGTCTAACTTTCTTTTCTTCTCTATTCAATGGTCCAACATCACTTCCAACAGAGTCATCCCCGGAAGAAGCCTCAGCAAATCTAAATCAACACAAGAAGTCAAAGATGAACTCAACTTTAAAACTGGTAAACATATATAAATGCTAACTTGTATACAAGCTTAATAAATAGAATTAACTAGAAAAGTGAAATTATTGAAAAATGAAAGCAACAATAAGGCCTCAATAAACGGACAACAAACTTAAATATTGGTTCAGAAAAATGTCAATAGAAGTACATGATAATCCCCAGGAACCTTATGTGACCATAAACGTGTACTATGTACTCTAGTATTAATAATCGGCAGAATTTTTCATGACACTTCTATCACACAGACAACATAATTATAGTATTCTAGTCTAGCAGTAAAATATAATAATAATAATGATGATAGAAAACTTCATGTAAACAAAACAGTGTACTTGAATCTTTTTCCAGCATTTCTTGCAGAGTGCCGAGTTGGTGTCACTTCTATCTTAGTTTTCAAATTGCTTTCATCATCTGATAAAGCATCTCCAGACTCAGTATCAAGGGACTCCATATCAACCTCTTTTATTTCTGTTCTGGGAAAGCCTTGCTTGTTAACAGATGACACCCCAGCACCACCTTTAAAGTCAATTCCATCTGCTTTCCCTGAAACATTAGTTCACGGTGATGAAGATTAATAAAGGAGCTTATCCACAAGTAAAGAAACACACTACAGTAAAATAAGCATTCAAAAACTATCACAAGGAAACAACCTCAAACAGTTCCTTTGGAAAATCAAGTTGTGCTTCTTCTGGGTTCTCATCTTTTTTTCCAATCCACCATGCATCGGAGAATACAATCTAAAATTATCACAGTCTAGCGATGATTTAGAGAAAAAAAACATGAAACATGCTACAAAAGATAGTTGAGAAATGTTAATAGGATAAATGACAGCATGAAAATACAAAGAACTAATGATGACACTTGATGGTAAAGAAGAATCACAAATTGTCAGACACAGAAGGCTTGGAACTTTTATATGGAAGACAATATTAACATATCGGGCCATGGGGCGTCCGGGAGCGCAGCACTCAACAAAGTAAAAACTGGAAGGCTATAGTTTAATATACTCTAAGGAGTAAAAAGGACATATAAAAATTAATAATAAAACATTGGATTAAATGCTAAAGCATCCAGATAAGTTATAACATCAACATCTCCTAATATACGGATAAGTTCTGCAATAATTAGAAGTCAGGGACCTTTTAACTGATGATCTCAACTCTTAAGTTCGAACATCGAAAACAGAATGATGTAAGGTTTATGTAGAGAGAAAGAGAAACCATCAGCTGCACATCTCGAACCTTAAAATAATAAAGAAACGACACCTGTTTACCAATAATTCCGAAAGCATAAGAAAAGTACGAACCATGTTGTCAAAATAATCCTCACACATAACATTCTTTCCACCGCGAGAGAACAGCAAACTCAAATACCTATTCTTGGGATACACAATGGTCCCAAACAGCTTCATTTGACCCTAAAAACCCAAACAAATTTAAGTATTATTGGATTCCATTACATTACTCTGAACAATTCAAAAGTTAATTTCGAATTGAATTAAATTAAATCAAAATTTTGAAACCTGAGGGAAATCAAGGTAGAGGATAGGGTTTTTGGAGCCCAAGTTCTTGAGCTCGCCGATCTTGCCACCAGAGATGGGAGCAAGGAGACCAGGGAAAGAGAAGAGGAAACGATTTTTCCTTTGAGATTTCCTGAGAATATCTTTGCCATGGTGCTTGATGACTTGCTTGGATGGGCTGAGGGGAACGTAAGATTTGGGGGCGGCCTGTGTCTCGGAAAGTAAGTGGTTCTTCAGAGCTAATTTCTTGAGTCTTCTCCGTTCAGTGGCTTCTGGGGTTTCAGCAACGAGTTGCTTCTTCGAAGAGGAGGAGGCTCTCACCATTTTTGTCTCCGTTCAGATCTGAAAAAGTGTGCGATTTCAAGTGGTAATCGCGGGTGGAGGCGGGAAAATCCGATTGTTTTTTCTGTTTTTGCAGCCTGATCCTTGCTTTTTTATTTCGCTTCCATTTCTTACGTTTTCGTTAAATGACTTTTTTGTCCTCTAACTTTATCTAATTTTTCATTTTGGTTCTTAAATTTTTTTCACACACCTTCGAGATTTTAAAATTTGACGAATTAATATAAAACCAACGACTATAGTAATAAAGTTATTAAATTGACGCTGATATTTTTATATTTACCGAATTTTTAGTATTACTTAATTAAGTTTTTTAATAATATAAAGTGATTACAAGTTCAATATTTTTCGTAGCCATTTGCAAGGCACAATCATCTTACAAACATACAGACTCAAACTCATAACCTCAAGAGAGAACAACACTCCCCTCAACCACTAAGGACACTCATTGAATCTGTTTTAGAAACAAAAATAATGAAACATATATTTAAATTTAAAAAGAAATACAATCTTTAAACTCTAAATTTCACCATGTGCTAATTTAGTCCCTACATTGACTAATATTTACAACGTAAAAAAAATAAAAGTAAAGGAGTTTATAAACAAGTTTGTTCGTGAACATAAACAAACCGAACACTACTTTATTTGTGTTAGTTCGTTTTATAAATGATCTTGACAATTCTTTTTCTGCTATTCTTTCTCAAATGAAAAGGGTTGAATCTGCTAAGATGGAGGATTTTCCCCACGAGGATAGAACTTGTATCATGAATTGGCGATGGTTGTGCAGAGGAACTTTTGAATAAACCAACCCCCAATGAATTTGCAAACCCTTATTTATTGCCTTTCCTACTCAAATTATAGGCCTAAGTAACCTTAGTTCCTTAAATTATATCCACAAAAAGACAACCATGGGGGCTGGTTCTGATATGTATGCTGCATCAATTCTAGATTTTACTTGACATGTCTCCCCCAGCTGTCTTCCCATTAAAGGGGTGTATGAATTCTTGGAACGACTTTGTTAATCTTAGAGAGTATCGTCTAGTGTAACGATTATATCAATTCAGACGAATTTACTTTTAGGACAGTTGTTTACCACACACATGTTTATCATTCTTTTGTTTGGATTATTACTTTATTTTTCATATTAATGTTAATGTCTTGTTTTGCAGTTATTGTTCCTACAATAGTGTTGGAAAACCACATGAAATAATGTTGTTTTGATGAAATAAATTGCTAGCTTGTATATTAGATGCTAAGTTACATTTGGAGTCATATGACAGGATTTCAGAAAATAAACCACAGGAATCTTATTCGTAGAACCTGATATATAGCTACCAAATTTGACTTGAATCAATTCCAAAACCATAATTAAAGCCTTTACGCATAACTAAAATTTAGAAGTGTCAAACATGCTTGTAAGAGGAGGATATCCATTTTTTTGGTTAAAGCACTCTAGTTTCATGGGGCCACGACGCCCTTTTTCTTTTCTAATGTGGGATTAATATCTTTTACTTATTCAGGTCAAAAGATCGCTCTAATACTTTTCACAGGATTATTACCAGTTACCGAAAAGACATATTTGATAAGATGTGTAATGTTATCACCAGTTATAAACTCCAAGACCTCCCTTTTTTTACGATGTGAAATTAATATCTCGTACCTATCCATGACACTATGTCTATGATTGTTACCTATATCTCATTTATGGTTCGACTAAACTTGCATTTTCATTAACAGTTAGCTGTTTCAGTTAGAGAACATTTTAGAGGAAGATAACCACTGATTGGCCATCAGAAAGAGATTTCAATTAATTAACCAAGCAGGCTTATGCTTAGGATACATTAGCCTTTATTTGCTGTTACTATGGCTATATCACATTGTGTACGGCTACCCGAGAAGCTCTGAATTTGCAGTGATAATTTACTGACCCTATTCAGCTAGGAGTGTGCCCATTAAAACTTTATTAGATTATGAGACATAATATTGAAAAAGTTGACGAAAATATAATACTGGTACAAATGTCAAAATTTGTTGTCATATAAAATAACTTAAATGAGATCATGACAAAAAAGAATACACTAATTGGCCGGTTTAACATGCATCTATCACAGATCATGTTTGCATCCATAGATATGGGAAATTAATTTGGCATGTGAATGACACACCGCAAGCATTTTCCTTCTTTCATCAGAGTGAAAGCTTTGTTGATGTCTTCAAATGGAAGATTATGTGTGATGAACTCATCAATCTGGATTTCCTGTGAGTACAATAATCAAATATTACACACTTAAAATAACATTTAATAGACATGGTTGCCATTATCAACCATCGAGCTAGCTGAATGTGCTATAGGTTGACAAGCATGACAAGTCAAGGGTTATGGTAAAGCACATAAGTCTTGCCTTTTCTTTAGTCCAAATCACCAGTTCCGTTATAAATTCAAATTCAATTAGTCAGCTGATTTGGATTTTAAGATAATTGTCTCGACTGTAAAACCTACATCTTATTTATATAGACTCCTTGTAAGCGAAGTAACTAAACTTGCAAGTAAAACTTTATCTATAATCATTAAATGTTCATGCATCATTTACCCCATCCGTAATCCAACATCTGAAACTTTTATTATCCATTACCATCCATAGATGTATGATGAGTTATAACACAGTCCAAAATATCAACTAAAAAATAACATTATGGTATTTGTAATGACTGAATAAATCTAGAATAGTTATGGAAAATTTACCTGGTTCATGTACTTGTTCACTAATTCAGGAAGATCAGATTTAGGTTTCCATCCTCCAAATAGGGACCCTTTCAATGTTTTTCCAGAAAGAAATGCTGAATAGTGAGACTCTATTTCAGGTTTCACTTTTGGTACACCGAGTGTGACCGTTAAACCCCATCCCTATGGAATGGAAAACAAAGAACTAGTGAGTTCCATTTTGATGAATAAAATCTTTTTTAAAACGGAGAAGTATTAGCAAATCCTAACAAGTTGAGACATTACATCGCAGCAGGATTGCAGTGCAGTCGTTACCATCCCGGTATTGCCTATGCATTCGAAGGAGTAATCTGTTCCTCCACCAGATATTCGCTTGATTACCTGAAATTTTCGGAAATTGAGAAGGATAATGAAAAGAAACATACCAATTGATTTTTGTAATCAATTGAATGTATACCTGTTGAATGGGTTCTTCATAGTCATTTGGATTCAAGAAGTCGGTGACTCCAAAAGCCTTAGCTGCAACCGTAATAATATATCCCTTTAGAGAATTTACAACGGGTTCAGGGCTTGGAAACCTGGAAATCAGAGGTGGAATATTGATCTTACCTTTTTGTACTTTTCAGGATTAATATCAACACCAATTATCTGAGATGCTCCCCTAAGTTTGGCACCTTGAGCAACCTAATCACACAAGCATATTAATAATAACATTACAGCACTGAGCTTTTTCCAAAACACTCAACTTATACTTACAGCGAGGCCAACGGTTCCAAGTCCAAAGACCACTAGTGTTGATCCTTTAGATATATCAGCAACATTCCAAGCCGCACCAAGACCTAAAACCATAGCCTTGACTGTCAGGTGTATTAAACTACGGTTCCGATTTTTGTGAACACAACTGAATGAGACTAACATATAATGCTCAAGAATGTATGAGTTAGCTAAAGAAACTCGTCTAAACTGTATATTTTAGTACTTTCATTCAAGCATTAGGTGTTCGTAAAGGCTTCACCATACGCTCTTACTACATCATCAAAAAATCGAGATTAAAAGAGTTGAATGGTAGTTCTGCAATACCTGCAGCTACACCACAACTCAATAGGCATATTTTTTCCAGAGGTGCTTGCAGACTGACTTTGACGGCACATCCAGAGTGTACGACCGTATATTCACTGAAACTTGAAACCGCACAATAATGATAAACAGGTTTCCCTTCAATTGAGAAGCGTGTACGCTGATCGCTGTGCATCACGCCTCTTCTTTCCAGGCCTAAAACTTGGCACATGTTACTCTTTCCGGATTCACAATGCTTGCACATCTTGCATTCTCCGATGAATACAGTAAGCACATGGTCTCCCTCCACAAATTCGGTCACTCCCTCGCCCACACTCTCAACAATCCTACACAAAAAGCAACAATAAACTTCAATCCCCATTTTCTTTTCAACTGTGTTTAAGACAATTAACATAAAACATAAAGAAAAGTAATGCCCAAAACAAAAACGATATCATTAATCTGTAAACTGTACTGTAGTTATACAAACTTTATTGCAGGTTTAACTAGTCCTCTATTCAACATTTTCTCAAACAGATAGAGGTTCAAATAACTATAGGGAGTTAAAGAACACTTGAAACCAGAAAGGGTGCTGAACTGACCCTGATGCTTCATGGCCGAATATCCGAGGAAATATAGCCTGCAATCAACTATAACTTTTAGTACCCAAATTTGATTACATTTGAAGCTCTTAATGGTATACCATTCTCGTTCATTGAGCATGATATCTATTAAAATGGTTAACCAAAAGCACCTGAGATTCCCAAGCAGTGATATCAGTGCGGCAAAGAGAGGTGCAAACAACTTTGATCCTGATTTCATGAGGCTGAGGTGGGCTCACTTCTACTTCCTCCATCACCAGATCTTTTCCAGCTTCCCATGCCACCATTGCTTTCATTAAAGAAAAAAAATCAATAAAAATGCAAACCGTAAATACCCACATTAAAAAAATGAAAAATGGGTGTGAAGAGCTACCTTTGCAGGTGATGCAATTGGGTTTATCAACGGAGGATGACATTTCTTCTTAGTTTCAAAATTTTCAACAGTTTGTTTCTTCTTTGGTTTAAACAAGGGAGAAAAGAAAATGAAGAAATTGAAGTCGGTGATGGAAAAGAGCTGTTTAATTTGGTTGGTGTGGTAGTAGGTGAGTGGACTTGGTTGTTGAATCTCTATTATTTCTAGTTTCTATCACTTTTGATTTCCTTCTTCTGCCCCCGTTTTAGCTTTATTAACAAAAATACACTATTTTTAATTTTATTTATGAAAATAATATATTTTTAATGAAAAACTATACATATGATTACTTAACTTTCACTTTGATCGTCGATTTATTAGTTTTATGAATCAGACCACTTAATTATTTAAGTAATATCAATCAAGTCACATGTCGTTAATATTTAATAGAATTGTTGATGTAATAGTTAATAAAATTAGTATAATTATATAGTTGATGCTTAATACTTATATATTCTATTAATTTGATCATAATTTTAATTTAGTTCAATAGATTAACTTTTCAATTAAGAGGTTGTGTGTGTTAACACATGATCATGACACGTGTCACTAATGACTTAAAGAGTTAATTTATTAAATTAAATTAAAAACTATGACCAAATTAATAGAATATATAAGTATTAAAGGTCAAATATATAATTATATTAATTTTGTTAACTATCGCATCAATACTTGCGCTAAATTTTAATTACACGTGACTTAACTAACATCATTTAAATAATTAAAAAGTTGATTGACAAAATTAAAAAAAGTTGATGGTCAAAATGAAAAAGAATAATAACTAAGTGGTCATAAGTATAGTTTACTCCTTTTTAATATTATTTAAGAAAATAACAACTACCATATAGAATAATTAGCAAAATTATGGGGGCGTCAAAAGAAAACTTTAAAATCGGGCCGGCCCACGTACAAGCTTAACGAGAATACTTGGTTTATTTTCTTGTGCGAAAAGAAAGGAACGGAACAAGAACCCTATAAACCGGACCAAAACCCGGTTTAAACTGGCTCCTCCGTACGGCTTTATGTAACTCTTATTTATTTCTTCTTTCACCTTAAGAAATATCATAGTTGATCTTCTCTATTAGGCTCTGCTAGGTTTTGTCATTTGAATGCTGAAGCTATGGTAAAACTTCATTTCTTTTATTAACTAATAGCTTTTCTTTTCTTATTTCAGATCTGAAATCTCCATTCCTTTAGTTCTTTAAATCTTCACTGATTCTTTTTGTTTTTGGGGGATTTGCAGGAGGGTAAAAATGTGAATCTGGAGGAAGCTATCGAGCAGCTTCTCAATGTTGAAAAGCAGATGAGGTTGGCTGGCGATGTGGCCGCTACCAAGAAAGCCGTCACTGAGATTTTGCAGCTTTGCTTTGAAGCTAAGGATTGGAAGTCTCTCAATGAGCAGATCATTAACTTGTCCAAGAAAAGGGGTCAACTTAAGCAGGTAACAAGTGTTTTGTTGTTTTCTCTTTACTGGATTCAATTATTGTTTTGACTGCTTCGTGTTTCGATATTTAGGGTTTATGTATCATTGTGGGCTGAACCTAATTCGCTTTTTTGCAAGTGGATGTGTATCTAGTCTGAGCCGTTTTTAGGGATTTGTACGTATTTGGTAGTTATAATTGCTACTGGAGATGTGGGTTTATTAAAATATTTGCCTTGTGTTTAAATTTTTTATTCTATTCTACTCAGGTTAATCAGAATTTGAGTTTCTGTTTTAATGGTTGTTTCTTTTGAAGTTTGACCCATCAAATAAAATCTATATATGAAAAGCCTTAACCTAACCAAATTGTTTAGTGAAGTTCTGATCTTATCCTTGTGATTAAGTTCCTTAATTTAGTTTTTTAGCCCTTCCTAGTTTCGTAGACTGGTTTTGTCTGAAAGGCATCAGCCATTTGGTTCAGAATTTTTCATGTGCTAGTTAAAATTTTCTACCTATTATCAGAACATTTTGTGGGCGTTATGATTAACCAATATTATCATTTAAAAGAAGTGTTTGTTTATCTGCTCTGCAGGCTGTGACTGTGATGGTTCAGCAAGCAATGCAATACATTGATCAGACACCGGATCTTGAAACTCGTATAGAGCTTATCAAGACCCTGAACAGTGTGTCTGCTGGAAAGGTAAGTGTCTGACTCTGACATTAAGTCTTCTTTTTATCCAATGTTCAACATGTTGTCTAAAAAATTTATTCCCTCTGTAGATTTTTGTTGAAATTGAGAGAGCAAGATTGATCAGGAGACTTGCAAAGATTAAAGAGGATCAGGGCCTTATTGCGGAAGCTGCAGACTTAATGCAGGAAGTTGCAGTAAGTATCCTTTGTAATAAGATGATAGCTTCTTTTCTGTTAATCCCTTTTTCTAATATTTGATTGGTTTGATCTGCAGGTGGAAACTTTTGGTGCCATGGCAAAAACTGAGAAAATTGCCTTCATTCTTGAACAAGTATGGGAATCTTATTTTGATCATGTCCCTTAATTGTTTTTAATACTAATCTATCTTTTATATTGAGATTGCAATTTTAATTGTCAACCTGTCGATAATTAAACATTGCAGGTTCGCCTTTGCTTAGATCGTCAGGATTATGTTCGTGCACAAATTCTGTCGAGGAAGATTAGTCCTAGAGTATTTGATGTTGATCCCTCTAAAGAGAAGAAGAAACCCAAGGAAGGTGACAACGTTGTAGAGGAGCCTCCTGCTGATATACCTTCGCTATTGGAGTTGAAGCGTATCTACTATGAACTGATGATACGGTATTTGACTTCTCCTCTCTCTAGCATCCATATTTTTATGCTCAACTTTTTGTGTTGTCATTTTAATTGAATTTTGATAATTTTGTTTTTCTATGTAGTTATCTTATTAAATTCCCGGAACAATTTCCTAGCAATTTGAATGTGCTTTAGTTGTGTTGGCAACTTGATTTTTGTATAAGTTGATTGTTAGGGAATCTCAATTAAGTTGTTTTCATTCATGATGAAGCCCTTAAGTTAGATTTGCTCAACTTGGTATTTCTTTCAAGGATGACATCTGTAAAAGCAGATGGTGAATGTTTCTTTCTGTTGGTTGTTACTTCAGATATATTATATGTTGGAAGGTATGATCCTTATGTTTCAAGGTCATGAGAAAGTTTTTTCCTTACACTTTTTGGGGCTAGAGATCTAAATCTTTCTGGAATTTTAATTCTGGAGATAAATTCATGCAACATAGCTTACAGGCTACAGTTACTTGAAAACAAGATCGTTAAAATTCTCAATTTTTATTGGTTGTGTGAGAATGAGAATTGTAGTTCCTTCCTTGGCTTTTGTAGTTGAACTGTGATACCATTATAGTTAAGCAACTTAGGAAGAAATATCAACCATCTTTACTTCACGATAGAGATCCCACCAACTGTAAAGTGATTGAATATGAAATGAACTTCATGAATTATCTTCTCTGCTGCTACGTGGATGTTCGTTAAAATTCTCAATTTTTATTGGTTGTGTGAGAATGAGAATTGTAGTTCCTTCCTTGGCTTTTGTAGTTGAACTGTGATACCATTATAGTTAAGCAACTTAGGAAGAAATATCAACCATCTTTACTTCACGATAGAGATCCCACCAACTGTAAAGTGATTGAATATGAAATGAACTTCATGAATTATCTTCTCTGCTGCTACGTGGATGGATTTAGCTTACTAATGAGGTTTCCTCATATATGTAGGTATTATTTTCATAACAATGACTACCTTGAAATTTGCCGTTGCTATATGGCAATATACGAGATTCCAGCCATCAGGGAAGATCCATCTCAGTGGATACCGGTAAAGCACATCCCAATATGTCTCCTTTCCAAGTTCTGTTGAGCTGTTCTCATGTATATAGTTTTACTTGCAGGTCTTGAGAAAAATCTGTTGGTACTTAATCCTTGCCCCACATGATCCAATGCAGTCAAGCCTTCTTAATTCCACATTGGAGGATAAGAATCTGTCTGAGATTCCAAAATTTAAGTATGTCCTTGATTAATTTGGTACTCATGGATGTTCCAAGCTCTAGATGAGTTTTTAAATGTTTTATATATCTGATGACCACTTTTGTTTAATCATCTGTTATAGGTTGCTGTTGAAACAGTTAGTTACAATGGAGGTTATCCAGTGGACGTCGTTGTGGAATTTATATAAGGATGAATTTGAGAATGAGAAGAACATGCTTGGAGGCTCATTGGGTGACAAAGCTGCAGAAGATTTGAAAATGAGAATTATTGAACATGTAAATTTGTCACTTTCGTCATAAATATTAATTCACTTGTTAATTTCTTAATCGTTTCTCACTTGAAACCAATTTGACGCTTTTCAGAATATCCTCGTTGTTTCGAAGTACTACTCAAGGATTACATTGAATAGACTTGCAGAGTTGTTGTGTCTCACTGTCCAGGTTTGCTCCCTTTTTTCTTTCTCGAGAAATCTTGTTGGTAGATACCTAGGACTTTGTTTGGAAATATAAAAACAAAAGAGAGATCCACATTCCAGAAAGCTATATCCATGGTAATTAGTGAAGTGATAATTTGAATACAGGAAGCTGAGAAGCATCTATCTGAAATGGTTGTATCCAAGGCACTGGTGGCGAGGATTGACCGACCAATGGGAATAGTGTGCTTCCAGGTAGCAAAAGATAGCAATGAAATTCTCAACTCGTGGGCTGTGAACCTGGAGAAACTTCTGGATCTTGTTGAGAAGAGCTGCCACCAAATACACAAAGAAACCATGGTCCACAAAGCTGCTCTGAAAATGTGAAAACGAACTGTAGGCGACTGCCTTTCTATAACTGAATTTTGGTGACGGTAGGAAACCTAAACGGTGGTTGCTTTTGTAGCAGTGGGATTCTTCATATTATCATGGACAAATTCGCGTCTTTCATATGGTTTGGTAGCACACACGCTTGTAGTGGTAAGTAAAAGAGATGATTTGCATAACTCACTTGAAGCCAATGTTGCAGTGTTTAAAAGCCTTTCAGGCAAGCATGGTCATTTTCTATAGGATAATCTAAAATTTAACTAAAACACAAGCAACCAATTCTCTGCATAGTTTTGGTTCCTTTTGGGACATAAGAAATGACATTTAATTAAAAGATATTGAAAATCATGTTAGGATTCGATTTTATCAA